ACATATATAGAACAGAAATATTAAGAGGCATAGCCTAAAACCTTTGAGATATGCAGGCCACACAGCTTAAGAGATACCACTAAACAGATGAAAGACATCAACATACACCAGAGACCCAAAGATATAGAAGTCAAAGATCTCAACACATATTCATCCAAGATGGACAGGCCTGAGACCCCAAAACATACACCCTAGACACTGCAAGATGTAAACGACTGAAATCTCAAAACATACTGGCCAGACAACCAAAATACACAGACTGGAGACATCAAGTTACACAGATCTAAACAATACAGACCAGAGACCTCAACATGTGCACAGATGAGACCTCAAAGTCTCCTTACCAAAGATCTCTACATATATAGACTGCAAGACCCAAGATATACAGCCCAGAGATCCCAAGATATTTAGGGCTGAGGTCTCTACATACATTGCGCAGAAATGCCAAAATATATGCAACAGCGAACACAGTATAGACAGAGAATTCACAACATAATCCAGATGTCTTAACATACAAAGAATAACGATTTCATGATGTCCAGACAGAATCTCCTAACATATGCAGACCACCTACCCACAGAAACACAGACTTCGATATATGCTGGTCAAAGATTCCAAAATATTCAGGCCAGAAATTTCAGCATATATAGACCAGAGACAGCAATCAATACAGACAAAAAAAGCCATGAAATATGGAGCAGCCATGTTAAGAACTGTTGAGCAGATATCTCAACAAACACAGACCAGACCAGAGGCCTTAGCATATACAGACTATAGAGATCAACACGTACAGATCAGAGACCTGAACATATATAGACCAGAAGCTCCATTTCCAACAGTGGAGACTGTGGCAGGCATTTCTCTGCAGTATCCATTGCAAGATGGAGCATTCATTGGCTCAACAGTGGAGTAGTAAAGTTACACATGCATTGCTTCTTATGGAGAGGAAGTGATTTACTGTAGGTTTGGGGCATTTAATCTTTTCTCATATCCTTAGAAGAGGGATTGATAAACGTATGATAGAAGGGAGTCTATAAAAATTCAGGATAAGCAAGTGAGGCAATTTCTTAGTAAATTTATGAAGGAGAATCTTCACGCAATGCATGCTAAGTAAAAGGGATGATTTATTTTCTGCATTTTTGATTGGTGATCCATTCATGCAATTAATGCTGGGTTAGACAACAAATTTCTTCCTTGGTATGGGGACATAATCATGCATTCTACCCTGCTAAGGAATGCAACTTGTTCTGTGTATGCTGGGCTGCAAGAGACATTCCTGGAGTACATGCTGGGCATACAAGGAAATAAAACAAACAGAATTATAATACATAAGTGTCATTAAAATGATTTATACTGTCAACACTGAATAGCCTGAGGGGGAGACTCATCAAACCAATTCAGGCAGGTAACTTTATACCCTTGATATCAATTACATTGACTAACAATACAAACTAAACAACACTAAATAATTAAAACTGTGCACACTTTAAAAACATGAAATGGCCCATTATGTACACAAAATAACAATGCAAATGGAGTAATAGGAAGTGATTACAAATGTACATACTGTGAAACAAGAAACAGTACTGCATACAATGACTGACAGGGAAGAATGATAACATACACACAATAAAGATGCAAACAGCATAGGGAAGGATTAATATTTTATACAGGGGAAAAAATCAAACTTATGTACTGAATAACAATGTAAACTAAGAAACAGAGAATAATGTACGCAAGTAACTACAAATGATTGGTAAAATACACATTAAGCAACAAATTAATTATCACAAAATAATATTGTATAAATCAAGTAACAAAGATGATTTATAATGTGCACATTGAATAACAATTCAAGGTAACAGAACAATACAGTACATAAGTGTGAGAAATTATTGATAATGTACCTATTAATAGTGAACTGAGTAACAAGATACAATTGATATTGTATATTTTAAGTAAGGAACTGTATTACATCAGTATGAGGGTGTATTAACTGTCACATTTGTAGCAAATTTACTAAAGTCTATTGTATTGTGAGATTATTGAGAAGCATGTTCTGTTAATCTTAATGTATTTTATATTTGAATGATATATTAGTGGGTGGTGGCGTTACATCAGAATGAAGGTTCGCGATGTTAACAAAGTGCCACATATTCAGTAGAATATTATAAAAGGCTTTGGAAAAGTAAATAGTGACAGATTGCATTGAATTCATAACAAAGGCACAGAAAATGGTTATCATTAGAAGAATGAAAATGGATGTTTGAAGAATGCTTTTCACAAAGAAAATGCTATTAGTAGGGATTGATTTACCATAAGCAACTATTGAATGGGATATGTATGTGAAAAGGAAGCATATAAAAGGATAATGGAAAGAACAGGGAAATGAAATTTTAGTGAAAAGCTCCAGGTGAGGTATTTGTATTAGTTAGATGGGATTACTGAATGGTTTCCTTCAGTGTTATAAATTATCTTTGGCAGCGATATTTTGCATTATGTGTATCAGATTTCTTACATTTTAATACCACTATGTGCTCAGATGCTGACTGTGAATTTTCAAGGAGCAGACATGACCACTCAGATAAAGTAAATCCACTGAACCTGAACTGCATTAGGCATTGTTTCTGGGTGGTCCATGCAGTTACACCTTTGAGTAGATCCAACAACTGGAGTTTTCTATAAAGTGTGCATCTTCTGTGCTGAATTCCAGGATCACTGTCTCTTCAGTACCCTACTGTGTCCATGATACCAGGCTGAAAATTCATTGCATTATTCACTGCTCTGTTCCAACTCTGGAATCTAGCCCTTTCTTCAGAAAGCCAACCTACAGGATCTTACTGTGATTAGGAAATTGAAGCATACTGCATGAATTTAAGAGAAAAGGGACTTTAATTTTGAATTTTTTTTAATCTCTACAAACTGCTCCTGGATAAATTATCACACACTATTCCTGAGAGCAAGAGGAAATAGAGAAATTAACAGAACAAAATATGTTACTCTTGCTAAACATTTCTTTCCTGACTTTTTTTACCTGACTCTATACTCATTTCTACCCTTTTCTATCACTCTGTGATGTCTGCATTGCTTCATCCATCTCTATAACTCCCCATCTGTTTATATGTCTCTACTTCTTTAAATTTACTTCCAGCAGCACTGTCTAGTTCTTTTTGTTACCACTTATACGTTTTAGGGCTTGCTTATTAAGCTTTACTGACAGTGGGATGTAACTTCAATTATTTGAGACTGGGAGAGGAATGAAACAGAATATATTATTAAAATACCAGCAAAAGGCAATGATATTACTTTTCCACCTACTCCTTTAAAAGAATATTGGCATGCACAGGAAACCAGATCAATGACATGTCAAATGCCAGGCAAGGAACAGCATTTGTTTTGTATATTCTAGATAGCCAGAGGTATTCCAGGCAATGGAGAACTCAATAGCTCAGCTCAGTGAGTTATGTCAGGTGAATGATTTCTGCTTTGCTCGCTGTCATCAGTTGTTCTGTTATTGCATGTGATTTTGTTTTGATGTGGAGTTCATGAGTGATTCAAGACCTGAAAATCTACCCCTAAACATTACTTATTCAGCAGAATAATGTCTCCTTACTGTACAACAGTGCAGATGCTGTTTATTCAGCTATTCTTTGCATAAGCGTGGAGATTTGCTGTTATTTCACAGGGCACTGGGTCAATGGGCTAAGGAGTGGCAGATGGAGTTCAATTTGGATAAGAGAGGTACTGCATTTTGGTAAAATAGACAAGGGCAAGACTTATACAATTGATGGTAGAGCCCTGGGTAGTGTTGTAGAACAGAGAGACCTAGGGGGTCAGGTACATAATTCTTTGAAATTTGCATGACAGGTAGACAGGGTGCTTGCCTTCATTGTTCAGACCTTTGGGTACTTGAGTTGGGACGTCATGTTGAGGTTGTACAGGATACTGATGAGACCTCTTCTGCAGTTCTGGTTGCCCTGCTATGGGAAGGATATTATTAAACTGAAGAAGGTTCAGAAAAGATTTACCAGGACATTGCTGGGAATGGAGGGTTTGAGTTATAAAAACAGGCTGGATAGGCTGGAACTTTTTTCCACTGGAGCATAGGAGGTTGAGGAGTGACCTTATAGAGGTTTATAAAATCATGAGGGGCACAGATAAGATAAAGAGCAAGGGTCTTTTCCCTAAGGTGGGGGAGTTCAAAACTAGGGGGCATATTGGTAAGGTGCGAGGAGAAAGATTTAAAAAGGACATGAGGGGCAAGTCTTTTACATAGAAGTGGTTCATGTGTGGGATGAACTGCCAGAGGAAGTGGTGGATGCAGGTACAGTTAGAACATTTTAAAAGACATTTGGATAAGCTCACGAATAGGAAAGGTTTGGAAGTGAATGGTCCAAATGCAGGCAGGTGGGACTAGTTCAGTTTGGGAACATGGTAGGTGCGGATTAGTTGGACCGAATGATCTGTTTCCATGCTGTATGATTCTATGGTAAGTATTATTTTGTGATAATGCAGAGTTGTTAACCATTCAGTGGGGTAAGGGTTACAGAGGGTTATTTGGAATTGTCAGTACTTTTCTGCTTACAGCTGCATTCTATTTATACCTTTATAGCACAGGATTTCTTGGTTGGCTGATGCATTTTGTAATTTTGTTTGTAGGATTGGGGGTGGGAGGATTAACATTCAGTAACTGTGTAACAGCCTGAAACCAATGTGTCAGTGGGGTGACCTGTTCGAGTCTGATAGGACTCGGCACCTCTGATAAGCACTCCGTGTCAATTTTAGACAGATTTAATTAACATTCCTTCCTGGACCAGCACTATACTATAGAAAAAACATCTGAACAGAAAAATAGTAGTAGTTGTTAAACATGTGACTAAAGTGATGCTGAGTTTTTTTTCCCCTTTGGGTGCGATTTTCTTTATTGTATATCAGTACTGGAAATAAAATGTTTGGCACATCAACTGCAGGCGTTGTTAGCAACACACTACAAAACCACGGTCATGCATCAATTTATTTCTTTTTAAAATGTCTTGCAAGGTTTCATTATCAATTTAAACATGCCTCACGCCCTCCAGAAAGATTCACGAAGAGTCAGGCCAGGTTAGGAGAGGAAAGGCTGGCCTTCAAATGATCATTCAGCTCAGAGAGGGAGAAGTTATTGGTTCACACTAACAGGATAAACGGGACACTCACAATCACTTCTAGAACTGAGCAGATTTTACAGACACAATTTTCGATTCAAAGAACACGTCAGCCACCAGGATCACATTATATGGGCAATAAAACATTGAGAAAGAACTTCATTTGACACTTTTTTTTTGGAATAGCTGAGATTGACATCCTAAAACCCACTGACGAAGGGTGTCCTCACACACGGCCACAGACAGAAACACCGACCAGGGGAAACGTTCATGAGCCCACTTTTGCGATGTCACACCAGGTCTCACTCTGCAGGAACGAAGAGGTTACCTCTGTGCTTTGTAGTCGAGCGAGGGAAAAGCCACTGGCTTGAGGCAGTTAATGAACTATATAACAGCTTTTGGCAATCAAGGCAGCAAATCATTTTGCAAAGCATCTTCATACAGAGCTACTATATAGGGAAGCACCTGCGATGTGAACTGGTCAGCAGCTGCTGTGTGCACTGTGTCTCGCTGTGTAATGAGGTGATGGATGAAAAAAACGCATTCCCAACACGCTTTGAGAGATTTAAGCAAACATCACGGAACAGTTAACAGCCTCTGAACATGCTGCACAACCCGGAACAAGGGTCTCTATTGTGATCCTCCCCCCTCTCCTTTCCTCCCCATTCCTCCCCAGGCACTGTTTAACATGTAATCTCAGCTTTGACAAACTCCGTGTTAATAAAAGAGAACCCCTCGAATTCTGCCTGGTCAATATTCATGATGACCTCTTGGTCAGGTGGAGTTAAGACTGGCGGATGACGGGTGAAAAATCGGTCGAAGTTCTCAGCGTTGCGCCCGCACTGTGGGAGGAGAAAGAAAAAGGGTGATGGGATGGAGTGCCGTGGATTTATAAATGGGTTAGTTCTGTAAAACAAACCAATTCTGGAGGGTGAGTAATGCAATGGATACAGATGTAACCGCTTTCTAACGAGCACTCTTCTCTCACTAGCCCATGCTGACCAGCTTGGCAATCCCCCTTCCCTTTACCTCGTTTCCCCGCTTCATCTGAACAGAAGAACAGGCCATTCAGCCCTTTAAGGGTGCAGCACGAGATCAAGATACTATTCAACCCCTCGTGCTGTTTGACAACTCATACCCCAATCCACTTGAAGGACTGCCTGCCTGACTCACTGTCTGCCGGACCTACCCACTGCCCCTGACGTTCAGAACCCTGGCCTACTGATCATTCTTCGTGTTAGAGGATAGGGCAAGTCAATATTCCCACCCTCTCCTCAGGGTCCGTATAAGGACTTACCAATCAACTGTTCTGAGGATTTTAGCTAGTCACCTGTAACATTAACACTTTTACCATTCAAATATTCTGTCTGACCTGAAGATGTCGAGCACTTTCTGTTTTTATTTCAGTGGCTGAAGACTTGTGGGAAGTGGATAAGAGTTCAATGGATGGGGAAATTAGGCCCCCTGACCCCAGGAATGAACTGGGCTGGAGTGCCTTTTCTGGGACAGGGACTGAGTGCCTTGTCTTCTCAGGCTGAGGTCCAGGCAAAACACAACAGAATTACAGATTCTGCAAAGAGGGGAGGGAGTTGAGATTTGCACAAATACTTGGAGGCAGATTAACTGAAAACTCACACTGGATGGGCAGTGGGATTGACTGAACACTTTACTGAAAAACAGGTGGGAAATGGGGTAACAGAAGGCCATGATCATGCAGATGGGAGTGTAGGTGGCAGAAAGGTCAACTGATCATGTCTGCAATTGTAACCAATAAACATGGTTAAATGTGCATGAAGCAAGAGCCCAATGTGTATAAAAAATATAAAATACAGTTTCCCACATTCCAACGTACATGTTCCTCAAACATATGTGTTCCTCACCCAAATAGTTGCTCTTCATATCAATCACTATTAGACATAACCCATCCCTCAAAAGAATGAAATAGCAAGGAAGCTCTGTTCGACTTGTATGAAATAATGGCTCAGTCTCAACTGGAGAATTGAATCGAGTACTAGGCACTGCCCTTTAAGAAGGATGCAAAGACATTAGTGAGGGTACAGAAATGATTCACAAGAATGGCTTAATGATGAGGAACTTCAGTTAATTGTTGGGAAGGTTGGGACAGTTCTTTTTCAAGAAGAGAAAGTTGAAAGGAGATTTGAAGGAGGTATTCAAAATCATGAAGGATTGAACCAAGTAGACAGGAAGCAATTGTTCCAATTGGTTGAATGATTGAGAACCACAGAACACAGATCTAAGGCAATTGGCAATTGAAGCAATGGCAACATGAGGAGAAACCTCTGTTATGTAGCAAGTGGTTAGGATCTCAAAGGCACTGTATTTTTTTTTCCTTTATTCATTCACGGGATGAGGACATCACTGGCCAGGCAGCATTTATTCCCCACCCAGAGGGCAGTTGAGAGTCAACCACATTGCTGTGGGTCTGGAGTCCCATGTAGGCCAGACCAGGTGATATCCTAAGGGATATTAGTGAACCAGGTGGTTTTTCCTGACAATTGACAATGGATTCACGGTCATCATTAGATTTTTAATTCCAGATATTTTATTGAATTCAAATTCCACCTTCTGCCATGGCAGGATTTGAACCCGGCTCCCCAGAACACTATCTGGGTCTCTGGATTAATAGTCCAGTGATAATACCATTAGGCCATCACCTCACCACGTGTGACTGTGGTGGATATATGTTCATAAGATAGGGAGTTGGATTATTATCTGAAACAATAAAGGTTCAGGGCTGTGGGGAGAAGGTATGGGAGTACACCTGGGTGAACTGACCTTGTAGCATAGACCTGATGGACTGAATGACCTTCTTTTGTGCTGAAACCATTAGATCATGCTATATAAAGCCTTTACCCCAATATATTTCTCATCCCATTTGCTTTGCTGTCTCTCTATACTTGTTATGTATTTTTTATTGTTTAAATTGCTTTATCTCTCCTCAGCCCAGCTATTCTGGTCACTCTCTCTGGCTCGTCTCATCCAACTCTCTCCTGTTTCCCACAACTTCCACTTTCCTTTGTTTTCCTTTAAAGCTGTCATGTTTAATTCAGTCTGCTGTCTTCCAATCTAATCATATCACCAAGGCGTAAAGAGAGATCTCACTCACACACAGAAGCACACACACACACATTCACACAAACACACACACATACACACACACGCACAAACACAGACATATTCACACACACACATTCAAGAAACAGGCATAAATGGTAAAGATACATATACAACTTTACACTGTTCACGTGTGAGTCGACGATTTCATTCCTGCCAGCACATATTAAGAAGCAGCTGGTGATGGGTGATGTTCTTTACTGCCAGGGTCTATTTAGAAAATTACTCCTCAAGACACATACAAAGGCTACTGATTCTTTAGATTCTCCTGGAACCTCCATGAATTAAAGAATAATATTCCTGGATAGCACTGGGACAAATCCAGAAGACAAATATTTTACATTTGAATACTTCTATTTATTAGTTATCAAACTATTGGAGATGGAGAGAAATGACTGTGAATGATAGGGTAGTTGGCAATGAGAGGTCATGTGATGAAATCGCCATGTATATATCCATAAAGTTGGTAATCCTAACACATGCACATATATTCAACACAGTCAGGAAGCCTGTAACAAGGAGATCGAAATTCAGTGACAGCTGTTCTAAATGTAATGTTCCGACTGCTGGGCTGATATTAGTCATTGTTGCTGCAGCATTTTCAATAAAGGGCAATGAGGGTTAATATGAAACTTCAAATAATGTATCATTGTGAATCTTTGGTAATCATTTGGCTGAACATCCCAAAAGAATATTGAAATGTTATACAGATTCCACCTTATTTAGTGATTCAATTCTATTTTATAATCAGATTTTCTCCAGAACTCTCCACTTCTTGCACTCCCCCAAAAATCATGAACTATTTTTAAACATATTTTGTAATTTAATTTCTGTAAGACAATCGCACTGTTTTGTAAAGGACTGAAATATAAAACCTCATCCTCACAGGAGGATTCTGTGGTCACAAGTTGCAGACTCAGGTTTCTGTTAACCTTGAAAGCTCTAATGTCTAAGCTGAGGAGATTCAAGGAAATCACAAACGACAACAATAAAGTATAAAATTCCATAAAATAACAAATACTAGTAAGCCAGACTTTGCTCTTGTGCTCACTCTCGTCAAGCATTTTATAAGTGCTGGTTAAATCTATGGTTTGACTTACACAGAAATTCTACATAGGACAGCATCAGGAAGCGGAATTATCACAGTATGGTTATCAGGTTCATTCCTGTCAGGGAGTCTTCATAAGATTACAGGGGAATCTACACTGGATGTTTATTTGTATAGGGCAAACTGTTAATGGGAATAGCACAGTAAGATAGCATCACCTGAGAGACCCAGAAATGCTGTTCAACAATTGTTTCTGGTTTTGCTACTCTTAAACAAGGCCTCAACTGTTTTAACACATGCAGCACCATCTTCTTCAATAGTGTGTGGGGAGGGTCAGCTAAAAACAACTTACTGCCTTTGGTTTGAAGGGAGGCTGAATCTCCATGCGTTCCAACTTTTCCCAATCAATCCATCGGAAAAATGCATGCTCCTTGATGTCTCGCTCGCCCTCAGGCCCACACCCCAGGCGCTTGGCTGGATGCTTTGTTAAAAGCTATAATCATGAAATACATCACAAAATAAACACAGGTGAAATCAACCATTTCATTAGTCTTAGCTCCTTCAAACAAAATAAGAAAAGTTTACATTCTCAAACATGCCACCTAATCATATTGAACTAAAGAATTTCACCTCTTTTATTCAATTGGAAAACCATTTCCAATTGAAAACCATAAAATAATGCACCCTGCTGTTGTAGTACGTTGTCATTCTTCATTAATGACCCTTTGGCTGAGAAATTAAATCAAAGCCCCATTTACCCTCTCAGGTGGGCACAAAAGATCCGATAGGAATATTTAAAAGAAGAGTAACAGCATTCTCTTTAAAGTCCTGATCAATATTTATCACTTAGGCAAAATCATTAAAGACAAACAAACTGGCAATGATAAAGCTCTGCGATGCAGAAGGATCTGTACGAATCACAAAAGGTTAGTATGCAAGTACAGCAAGTAATTTATAAAGCTTAAAAAAGCTACCATTTATTGTGGAGAGGGGAATTGAATATTCAAGTAGATAAATCATTCTTCAGTTACACAGGGTGAGTCTATATCTGGTGTACTGTAAACAGTATTGATCTCCTTATTTGAGGAAGGATGTAAATGTATTGGAAGCAGTTCAGAGAAGGTTTATAACTAAAGGTTGGACAGACCAGGCTTGTTTCCACTGGAGTTTAGAAGAATGAGGGGCAAATGATTGAAGCATTTAAGATCCTGAGGAGTCTTGACAAGTTGGGAGAATCAAGAATTTAGGGGTCACTGTTTAAAAATAAGGGTAGCCCATCTCACAACAATGAGAGAAAATTTATTCTCTAAAGGCCATGAGTCTTTGGAATTCTTTTCCTGAAAATGTGGTGGATGAAGAGCTCTCATTTGGGAGCTTGCTGTGCATAAACTTGTTGTCACATTTCTCACATTACCACTGTCACTACTTAAAGTATTTAATTGGTAGTAAAGGACTTTGGAACATCAAAGGAAGTGGAATAGTCTAGTTAGCTTTTTGAACCTATTCTGCCATTTGATAAGATCACGACTGATCTGCAACTTAGTCTCGACACCAACATTTATCCCATATTTGTCAATACAATTGGCTAACAAAAATCTATTGATAACTGTTTTAAAATTAATAGGTAATCTAACATCAAATTCCATTTGCAGAAAAGAGTTCCAAATATTTAGAGCTGAGTAAGTGATGTTTCCTAGTTTCTCTCTGGGAAGGTCTGGCTGTAAGTTTCTGACATAGAACAAAGAACAAAGAAAATTACAGCACAGGAACAGGCCCTTCGGCCCTCCAAGCCTGCGCCGATCCAGATCCTCTATCTAAACCTGTCGCCTTTTTTCCAAGGATAAGTATCCCTCTGCTCCCTGCCCATTCATGTATCTGTCTAGATACATCTTAAATGACGCTCTCGTGCCTGCCCCTACCACCTCCGCTGGCAACGCATTCCAGGCACCCACCACCCTCTGCGTAAAGAACTTTCCACGCATATCTCCCTTAAACTTTTCCCCTCTCACCTTGAAATCGTGACTCCTAGTAATTGAGTCTCCCAGTCTGGGAAAAAGCTTCTTGCTATCCACCCTGTCTATACCTCTCATGATTTTGTAGACCTCAATCAGGTCTGCCCTCAACCTCCGTCTTTCTAATGTAAATAATCCTAATCTACTCAACCTCTCTTCATAGCTAGCGCCCGCCATACCAGGCAACATCCTGGTGATACTCCTCTGCACTCGCTCCAAAGCATCCACATCCTTTTGGTAATGTGGCGACCAGAACTGTACGCAGTATTCCAAATGTGGCCGAACCAAAGTCCTATACAACTGTAACATGACCTGCCAACTCTTTTACTCAGTGCCCTGTCCGATGAATGAAAGCATGCCGTATGCCTTCTTGACCACTCTATCGACCTGCGTTGCCACCTTCAGGGTACAATGGACCTGAACACCCAGATCTCTCTGTGCATCAATTATCCCCAGGGCTTTTCCATTTACCGTATAGTTCGCTCTTGAATTGGGTCTTCCAAAATGCATCACCTCACATTTGCCTGGATTGAACTCCATCTGCCATTTCTCTGCCCAACTCTCCAACCTACCTATATTTTGCTGCATTCTCCGACAGTCCCCTTCACTATCTGCAACTCCACCAATCTTAGTGCCATCTGCAAACTTGCTAATCAGACCATCTATACCTTCTTGCAGATCATTTATGTATATCACAAACAACAGTGGTCCCAACACGGATCCCTGTGGAACACCACTGGTCACAGTTCTCCATTTTGAGAAATTCCGTTCCACTACAACTCTCTGTCTCCTGTTGCCCAGCCAGTTCTCTATCGATCTAGCTAGTACACCCTGGACCCCATGCGACTTCACTTTCTCCATCAGCCTACCATGGGGAACCTTATCAAACGCCTTAATGAAGTCATGAAGACATGTCTCCTCATCATAGACTCCCAATCAGTGGAATTATTTTTCCCCAATATACCTTATTTGTTCCTCTAAACATCCTTGGATTATTGATCTAATTACCCTTAATCTTCTAAATTACATTGAATATAATTTTGTTTGCTTTCTCCTTGCAGCTTAACACTTGTTGTTTGGTTCCCTTGCTAGTAAATCTACATGGCAATTTCAACAAGGCCAATATATTGTTTCTAAGGTGGATGCACACTCCTGCTCACAACCAGGAATATGTATAGTTGGAGATGTGGAGTACTGGCATTTATATCTAGCAAAATATGTTAGCCTTTTTGATTATCTTCTTTACAATTTATGACACATTGTTGATGTGCCAATGTTTCTTTCTTTGGATATTATCAGTTTCCAGCTTCTCAACATTTAAAAAAATCTTGTCTGACTGTTTTAAACCAAAGTGGATGACCTCCCATTTACTACATTGAAATCCATTTGCCATAGTTTTGCTCTCTCATTTCATCAATCAATATCTCTGAAATGTTATGCTTCTGTCTATACTACTTAATATTATTAATCTTTGGAATTATGTTTCACAGGTAGCAGTGGAGGCTGGATCAATGATTATATTCAAGGCTGATTTAGGCAAATCTTTGAAGAACAAGAGAGTCAAGGGCTATGGTGGACCGACAAGATAGTGATGTTAAGATCAGTTATTATCTTATTGAATGGTGCAGCAGGCTGAATGGCCTATTCCTGTTCTTATTTATCATGATCTTGTAATACATGCTATCAGCAAACTTCTATATGTGACTGTCTATCCCATTATTAAAGTCATTAAAGTATACAGTGAATTGCAGAAGTTCCAATACAGATTCTTGCAGGACACTGCCAATCACAACTTGCAATTAACAGTTACTGCTCATTTACCCTAATTTCAGTCTCCTTCCACTCCTAATCAGCTCAATAATTTGTATTCCATTCCATAACATTCAATATTGGCTAACAGCCTTTTCTGAGGGGCTTTCTCAGATAAAATAACACAGACAGTTTCCTACTTGCTACTTTGCTCACCTCTTCAAACAATTCAAGCAGATTTGCTAAACTTGACTTACCTCTACAAATCTGTGATGCCTCTCTCAGATAAAATGAAAATATCTGAGATGTACTGTCACCATATTCTTAATTATGAACTCTAGAAGTCTCTAGATAACAGATGTTAGGCTAACTGATTTATATTTCCTTGATTCCTCCCATTCAAGGTTTTAAAAAACTGGAGTAACGTGCAATTTTCCAATCTAACGGAACATTTCCTGGATTGAAAGAACTTTGGAATATTATTCTTAGGGATCTACAATGTTCTCAATTACTTTTAAAACCCTCATATGGAAACCACCTGATCCTGGGGAATTTATTGTTCTTTAGGGCTATTAAATTCCTCTGTTATTATTGTTTTCCTTTTGTTCATTGAATCCCAGATTCAATGATAGTTTCTATTGGATGTGTGGAATGCAGACAGTTTTCTCTACTGTAAATACTGACATGTCCAACACTTCCTTATTTTCATTGAATGCCACCTTTTCTTTCCTTATGTAGTGGTAAAAGTTTTTTTACATTGCCTTTGAGATCCCTTGTAAATATATTCTTACACAGGTAATCCTTGGGTTGCGAATGGGTTCTGTTCTAGAGTCTGTTCAATCTGTATGGAAGTTGGAATACAATGCATGACAATCTAATATAGACATTTGTTAAGTACAGGAAAGTTAAGTACAGGAAAGGATTGCATTTCAAATCTTCAAAAATACATCCCTGTGTGGGATTGCTTTCGTAAGTACAAGGATTTGTAAGTCAGATGTTTGTAAATTGGGGACCGCCTGACTACCTCTTTTCTGTAGCTTTAACCTTGGCATACTTTGCTACTTTTTCCCCATTTGTTAGGATCTGTTTTTGCACCTTTCCTTGCCTTTTACTTTTATATTGTCTCTTACCTCTTCAGTTACTTATGGCCGCCATTTTTGACAGGTTGGAATTTTGCCCTTCAGGTGTGTGACAAGTTCCATCAACACAAATTATTTTTTTGAACACCTCCTACTGATCATTTGTCATTTTACCCATTAACTGATTTTCCAAGTTTACAATCTCTCATCCCAATGAAGACAGCCCGATAGAAATCTACAATCTTAGTAACTGTTTTTCTCTTTCAAGCACTAACTGAACTCCATATTATGATTCTTAGTTGATAAATATTCATGTACAGTTAGACTATCAAATAAATCTGGCTCATTACTAATTACCATGTTTAATATTGCATGCCCCTTATTAGTTCTGGGACATGTTGCAGAAAACTCAGTTGAGAAATTCACCACCTTTCTGACATGTGCTAGTCTGCTTATAGCAACTGAATGAAAAATCAAGTCTGCCACCAAAAACTATTCTACCTTTCCCACAAACTTGTCTGATATCAGCATCAATGTAATCTACCACTTCACAGCTGCCCAGTAGGTATGTGTATAACTCTTGCTACAATCCTAAATCCTTTTCTATTTCTTAATCTAGCCACAGAATCTCCCCTGCCAGCTTACCTGGTTAT